ATTTGGGCCCTGGTGCCTGGAGAGCCGTGGGCACTGACCTGCCTCGCTCATAGCCGCTCCGCCGGGGGTGTTGGGACACGGCCTGGAATTTTGTTCTGCCATGTCAGTATGTGAGCACAGAGCAGCGGTTGAGTGATGGGTGTGGGTGTTAGAGAAGGCCTTTTGTGTGGAGTCACAGCGTTATTTCTGTGTCTGGGAGCCTTTGTGGGCTCCACGGCTCCTTTTAAACGCGTTCCAGCGAGCCGGGGCTGGCGGCTCTTGCTGGGAGGTGGGAAGGGCTGTTGTAACACCGCCCCAGCCGCGGGGATGCCTTGGCAGCTGCTGGGGGACGTTTTGCTGTGGAGTAAATGCAGCTCAGCCCTGACTCGCAGCACGATTCAGGGAGACCCTGGCTACTCTTCTGCCGAGTTGTGCTGGGGCGAAGCACCGGGGAGAGGGGTACAGTGTGCGGGGTGTGTTTTTTGCCCAGCTGAAGTTTGGAGAGGGAAGAGGAAGGGTATTTTTGGAGGGGAGAGGAGGGAGGGTTGTTTGCTGGATGCTTTTCCTTCCCGAGAGGCCTGTAAGGCGCACGCTCTCCCGCGTGGCTCCTGTGGGGCTCGGCCGCGCTTCAGCCCGTCCCTGTCTCGGCCGCGCTTCAGCCCGCCTCGAGGCTTGGGTGAAGGGGTGTCTCAAACTTGGTTACATTCCTGCTCTCTTAAGTGAAACCCGCAGGCTAATTCCTTTACTGTGGAAAAAGAGAACTTGTATTTGCCTTACATTTTCAGGTGTTAATGAAGAGGTGGGGATGACCCGTGGTGATTTCTGCTGAAGCTGTTGGCAGACAAGCTGTGGGAATTGCCCAATGCAGCCTGTAAAGCTCCCTAGGGCACTCTCCTTCTCCAGGGGTGCCCTGCAGGCTGTCCTGCCCGCGATAACTGCTGTCTTTCAAAAACTAAATAGTTCAGCTCTGCCGTGCAGTGCGTTTTGGAAAAATGAGGAAGCTGGCTCTCAAAATGATGCAGAGGTGAACTGAAGGGCAAACCACAACCCAGTGAGGTTTCTGTCTTTCATTTCTCTTCCGTATTTAGATCAGTTAGGTTTCTTTTAGCTTCTGAAGGTGGTAACCCCAGGGYGGTAGGTGGGCAAGGGGCTGCAGTGTGAACGCGCCGTCACGCGCCCRGGGGACGATGCTGGGGTGGAGGAGGCAGCGAAGGGCTGGGGAGCCACCCACGGGTGCCAGGGCAAAGCTTGGGCTCCCCACCGCAGAGATGTTCGTGTGGAGCGCGCTCCTGTGTGGCAGACGTGCGTCACGTTGTACAACAGAAACGAGCACCGTTCRGGAAACGGGATTCCAGAGCAGGAGGCTTTGCTCTGCTGTCATCGCTAGAGTTTAGGGKTTTTTTTTTTCTCTTTCTCTCTCCTTTTTCTCTTCTTAATTTCCTCTTAAAGGAACAGAGTGTTCTGACTGAGCCCTTGGGAGCCGCTGAGGTGAGCGGAGGGCAGTAGCTCTTGGAGGAAGCCGTGTGTGCAGTGCTGGCGCAGAGCGTGGCTCGCGCCCCGTCCTCTCCTCCCTGTTTAAAACGGTGTGAGAGGCAACACAGATGTCCTGGTGACTCTGCGAGTTTGTTTCTCGCTTGTCCATGACTGCCAGTGTTTCTTATGTCATGCTTGAGAACTGGTGTATGTGTGTAGTGCCATGTACTCTACTGAATGGTAATGCTTTTATTTATTTATTTTTAACTGAATGTAGCTAATTCGTTATCTGAATCATTCTYAACCCACAGGGATTACCTTTATAGACTCACAGGAATCTACAGAAGATAAATYAGATGCAGAAAAATAAAAGTATTTATTGCTGTTGTTAATGAAGTATTGGCATTTCATTTAAAAACCTTTCYTCTTTCCAGAGACTTGCAGCAGAAAGTTCGACACAACCCTGGCTGTAATGACCATCACTAAAATTGTAGCTTATAGAGCACTTTCCTAGTCAGGCTGCACTTGTGTTTTAACCATATAGTGGTGTGATGCTGAGGTGCAGGACAATAGTTGTGAGCCCTTCTGTGCATGGAGGGGCTGAGTGCTCTGAAGAACAGGGAGGGAAGAAGCARGGAGGAGGTCCAAGGCTCCTAGCACACAGGATTTATAAAGCCAAAACTGTCCTTATAGTTATTGTTACTCTTTCGCACGGCCAATGTGTAGAAGGATGCTCTTTTCCTCTCTCATTTATTTATTTTTATACATATATATTTTATTCCCTCCTTCCTCATGTTTTGACTTTATTATCTTCTTAGGGGATGGCTGCAGTAAAAGAACATGAGACCACAAACCTTGCTTGGGATTATTATTCTCGATTCTCACAGAAGTTTAGGGATGTAAGAAGGCAGACCTAGCCTTAGGAAAGCATGGGAGTAGTTGGAGGATATTGGCAGGAAAGGGAGAGAGAATTCGGTAACTTCTGTAACTGAGTTATACCAAAAGGGAGATTTAAATTTTATTTTATTGATACATTAAAAGCGGATAGTATTTGCAGTTAGTGTAAATGCAAAGTCCTATAAAGAGATGGCCAGAACTTCAAATTACTTTTTTTTTTTTTTTTTTTTTTAAAGCTAGCAAGGTATTCTTTTACTTTACTAGTACCAATTAGTAATCCCATCTGATCCTGTTCCTGTCTTAAGCAAAAACATGAAAGAGAAAGTGGGCCATCATTGGTTCATTGGTATAGCAGGAGTGCATACACACAGAATAACAGGATGGCTGAGGTTGGAAGGGACCCCTAGGGATCATCTAGTCCAACCCCCCTGCTCCAGCAGGGACACCCAGAGCACGGGGCACAGGGCGGCATCCAGGCAGGTTTGGAAGATCTCCAGAGCAGGAGCCTCCACAACCTCCCTGGGCAGCCTGTGCCAGGGCTCTGGCACCCTCATAGGGAAGAAGTTCCTCCTCACATGGAGATGGAACTTCTTGTGTTTCAACTTACACCCTTTGCCCCATGTCCTGTCACTGGCTACCACTGAGAAGAGCTTGGTCCCATCCTCCCTACATTCTCCCCTTAGGTACTTGATCAGATCCCTTCTCAGCCTTCTCTTCTCCAGGCTAAACAGGCCCACCACATAGACTTCTGTGAGATAAGTGTTTTACATAGAGCGTTTTCATCTTTGATGCCAACAGGGCTTGATTTCAAGGCAGGGAGAAAGCAAGTTTAGTGAGATATCTAGGTCATTGTATTTGCCCAGAACAATGCCTTGGATTACAGCTACATGTCTTTAAGTACGGTCTGCTATACAGAGCATATATACCATATAGACCGTATGCAGGCCTCCATCCTGAAAAAGAAGAAACCAGGGCCGACCCAATGCAGGTTATTGAGCTTAAGGTGTAAMAAAAATTTCAACTATGCTGAGTGAATTTAGATAGCAGAGGGGAGAAGCACAGGAGGGAGACATAGTGGCAGCTATGCCCAGCATTGCAGTAGATACCTTCTTTGACGTGCTTTAGGCTACTACTGCAAATCAAGTGTAAAGAAGYCCAGAGGCTTTAAGTTTACATGAAGAGTTATCATCAATCTTATTATGTTTTATAGACTTGTTACCTCATATTCCAAAATAATATTGCTTCTCTTCCTGTCCWGACCAAGCCCTTGTGACTGCTACTAGGTGTGTTTGTTATGCCAGGTGCCCGACTGTGATAGCCCATTCAGYACGATGGCATCGCCTGCCTGTGCATTTGTTGCATGGAAGAGCAAGCTTTTGAGACCATTGTGCTCGAGGCATCTCCCGGTGGAGTTGGGCATTTTGTAGATGTTGTCTGGGGTTTATAGGTAGAACCTAACTGCTACACTGTCCTGACTGCTGCTGTTTGACACTTAAAATCTTTTTAGCAGCGCTTTTTGATCACAATCTGAATTCGCTGAGGATTTATGTGTATATTTATTTCCTTTTAATGATTTTGTTAAGTGGAACACAAATCTCACCGCAGGTTTTTGTGGCTTCATCCCCAGGAAGGGCCGGAGGGTTGGAATACGCTGCAGGCGATGGGTGGCAGAATGGGTGCCAGCTGGCAGCGGGATGGGTGCGTTTCCTCTGCCTCGTGCCTGGCAGCAGGTCGCCGCTGCCCTCCCTTCAGGGGCGGCCCGTGGGGCCTGGGCTGGCCCGGGGCTCTGCCTGGGGCTCCTCACCACGGAGGTGACCTGGGCTACAGGCCACCTTGTGTGAGAGGTGGCTCAACCTGCTCTAGTGAGGTGGGCTTTAGGGAATAGCAGTTACCTCCCAMATGGCTCCTAAAAACAACCTGAGATGTGGATTTTCCTCTGCTTAGCTGGCAGGCACTGCCCTTTCCCGGGCTTTGTCCTGTGAGTGCTCTCCACACGTGACCCTGCCTGTAGCTGCTGCTCCATCTGGCCYGTGCCCGGATCCCAGCTGATGTCCCTTCGGTGCCTGCAGGAGCCCGTCTGGCTGCCCAGCCTGCCTGGGTGCTCAGCCCGTGACCCAGCGCTGACCCGGTTCCCAGTCCAGGCCTAAACACAGGCAGAGGGTGCTTAAACATGCAAGCRCTCGAGCAGCTGTTGCGACATCCCCGGCAGCTCTTTCCTGAAGGAAGCAGGCCCGTACTTGCACCAGAAGCTTGAACACGGGTCCCAGCAGCTTTTAGAGTAATGCATCTGGGCAAAGAGATGCTGAGAAAGTCTCCTCGTTTGGCCTCCAACTTGCTCTGCAGCAGCCAGGAAGCCTCTGAATTTGGTGCTTGCGTGTCCTTCCTAGAACGTGCTGAGAGCCCCTGGTTTGAATGGGAAGGAGATTGAGTGATTTATATTAAAGTTGAAACCTTCATGTGGCTCTGTAGGTAACAGTTTTATACAGATTTCAACAGCTTTATTGATGGATTAGGCAGAAGTGTCTTTTCACTGAGAACTGTATTCTCCTCATTGAGATTGGGTACTGCTTGAAATTATCTGTTTTGAACAGTAGAGAATTAAGTATTAAGAATTAAGTTTCACTCATACTTTTCTCATTTTATCTTTTCAGATGAACATAATGATGTACAGAAAAAGACTTTTACAAAATGGATAAATGCTCGCTTTTCCAAGGTAATATTGCTTTGAAAACACTTGTGTATTTTTTTCTGATTCATCATTTAAAACAGTACTGAAAAAATGGACTCTGTTCTTAATTTTGCAGGATGTTCCTAGTAAAATATGTGAGGACATATAATGAAGAGCACTGTATATAGAGCACTGTAATCTTCCTTCCTTCCTTCCTTCCTGTCTTTCCCTGTGCACCAAAACACTTTCTCTTTCCTCAAAAGCAGAAGAAAATGCATTAGTGTCTTGTTTAAGAGCTCACAATGACAGGTTTCCTTTGTTATTTTGTGAAAACCTGTAGTTGTCTGCGTGATGGTGCCTGTCTAGTTTTCAGTCCTTTCTCTGYGCAGGTTTTTCTCCGTGTGTTAAAGCAGATGCTGATCTCCAGTGGCTGTGTGGGACCCCAGGGCTGCTGAGTCGGCTCTGCTCAGCCACGTGCTCGGCCGGCCTCGAGTTGAAGCTACCAGGTGTTGTCAGCCTGAGTCTCGACTGTAAAGTTTTGTGTAACTGTATGCTCGTTCTGTGTTTCTCTGGGCCTTTTTGCTGTGCATTTCTTGTCTTAATTCTCTTTCCTGATGTGGAACTTACTGAGCATGCTCTTTGGGAATGGGAAAGGAGGTGGGAGATGTCGKATTATGTTATTTAAAACTTGCTTTTATGACACTTAGCTGGCAGCACGTTGGCCACRAGTGCTGTGGCTGTGGGAAGTGCCCTTGGTTTGAAGTCTGAATGTGCAGAGGAACCCAGGCTGGTATCAGAAAGAAAATGATGCTGTTTCCATCCAGAACGGGACTGAAAGCAGGATAAGGCAGCGACCGTGCGGCAGCTATGGAGGCTGCCCCTGGCACGGTGCCCTTCGGAAGCTCTCGGTCGGCAGAACAAGGAAGTTTTCCTTTCCTTTCCTTCCTGTGCAATAGGACACCGGGCAATGCAAGGCTCGTGGCCTCGGTTGATGCATCTTGGCTTCAGTTTGTTTTGCTTGAAAGCTGATACTCCCTGTATTTCTGTCCCTTCATTCTTGGCTAGTTCCCCCTTTGGAGGGGGGAGAGTATGAGTGTGGGTAACTGGTCATTCTACCCCCTGCCTCCTATTGCTGCTGAATGGAAAATGGGATGAAGAAGGAGGAGGATGAAGTAAAGAGCACAAACTTAGTGAGAAAAGCAGGCCTAAAAACGGGAGGCATAACGATGATATTATCAGAGAAATGATAGTGATACTGAGAATATGCCATGAGACTCATTTGCACCATGCATGACTCTATATAGATACGGATAAAAACTTTTTTGTGTGTGCTTTTACATCCATGTGTAAAGTAGCTTTTCCTTTTATAAAATGTATTCAACCCAAGACCTGCTCAGAGTCTGGAATTCCCTGCCACAGGGTATACAGTCTGCTGCTGGCTGGATTTAAAATAACTTGCTACCTTCATGGCCCGTTGAACCACCTGAAGCTAAACAAGCCCCGTTAATGATTGAAAAGACTTGGGTTAAAGGCCATGCTCCAACCAAGACACTTTCACTTCTAACCTGAGCGTGGCTACTTTGCATGACAGGGTCCAGATTTATGACAGCTACGACAYGGGGTTCACATCCTGTGGAAATTGCTTTTAGAGGCCAAGTTTCACCTTATTCCATCATTTATGTTTATCGAGGCATTTGAGTTGCTTAAAGTTCCTTTTCTGTGAAGTAGCTCAAGTCAGCTGTTCAGTGGGATATCTGACGCATGTTGCAGAAAACAAAATATAGGTACAGAATTGCAGAGTTCACTCTAAGATTTTTAGTAGTTCTTCACATTAATCACATTGTAGTGCATCTTAATTTGAATGTGTAAATAAAACAATTAGCTGAGGCTCTGTAAACTCTTGTGTACAACCCCCCTAAAATTTTAGTTGTGTATTCACTCAAAATTGTTTGAACTGGATTTAAAACAATTCAGTCTGATTTACAAAGGATCTGAAAAGGGAAATTTCCCTTTTCTCATTTGAAAACAGGTAGGTAAATGAAACACAGTTAAGTTTTCAGTCTGCTGTGGGGTGCTGCTGCCTGCCTTGCACGCATACTTGGTGAGCTCTGCATTCCTGCTGTGATTCCTGGTACAAGAGCATCCAAGCAGCCAGCAGTGCGGAGCGCCTCAGCGTGCTCCTGTATTGAGTCACATGGAGCTTTCCCTCGTTATGTGCTCCTCTATTGCTCTGCCCACGCTAATTTCAAGAGATGGAGTTAGCACTTTTCCCTGCGATACAGCCCACCAATTACTGCTTGTGGTGGTACAGGCAGTAAAGCTGTGTGCTCTTCAAACACTATTTTCTATCCTGTTTTTGCTCCTACATCACTCTGTACATCGGCTTTCTCGGTGCGTGAGTACTTATGAGCATAGACTGAAGAAAGTCTGTTCAGTTTTCSAAGTCAAGAGATCAAGAATGAGGAAGTGCTAGCATTAATATTCCTGACCTGTGTGCTTTATTTCTTAAGCTTTGTCTAARTGATAAGAATTATGTACTGGTTATTCTACTGGATGCAGGTTTCATTCACTCTTCAGAACTGATTATGCTCATGAATTACTTGTCTTTCTATTTCTGCTTGCTGAGTATATGGCCATATACCCTCTTTTACTAAACACTGTGTAACTAAACTTTTTTTTGTAATGGTGGAGGCAGCATTTTCCTTCAAACTTTCTTTGTATTAATAGTTCTTGGATATTAATAGATTTATTTTCATACCTTTTTGCAATCCAAGAATATAGTTGTGAGTGTTTATAGCCAGCCTAAATATAGGCTGATAACAGAAAAATGACTAATTTTGAGTGCTGAATTGGAGACTTTTGGRGGGACAGACTTTCCAGAGCATTTGGCCCTTCCGGAATTCCTTTATACAATGCAGAGCTTTCACTGAGTCTTGATGTAGTTCAGAGGGCTCCTCTCTGTGTTTGGCTCTGTGAAGCCAGACAAACGGCCTGAAATATTTAATGGGGCCTCAGATAGAACTTGATCAGTGGAACGTTTTCAAAAAGATGATGCTTATGTCAGCTAGGAATGGAGTTAAGTCAGGATCCCAAGCAAACATACAGAGTATATTTGATGTGAATACAGTAATGCTGTATGCAGGCTAGAAGGGGATTAAGYAAAGCTTTTCCACAATCAACCTTAGCTTTGACAATCCTGGTCTGACTGTCCCTCCTTTCCCMTTTCCTAATCTGTTATCTACTGACTGCCTTCACTTTTACAGCATTTAATCCTTATACGAATGTGGTTGGCTTTGCGTGCCTTGTTCCAAGCAATCCTATGATCACCCTGACCTCCTGCCAAGAATTGGTCTTTGCCGTCTTCCATACGGAAGATGTCGGGAGCGGAGCCGTGCGCTCCGCAGGCAGYTCCGTGAGCGGCCCCGTGGTGCCGGCAGCAGCGGCGAAGCCGCCCCGTCCAGTGTGCCCAYCACGGCTCTCTCTTCGTTACCCTTGGCAAGTTTTAGTTCTAGGTGGTAACTGCAAAGTCTTATCTGGTTTTCTAGGTAGTGTGGTGTACCTATTTATTTCCTGCAGCATTTGCTCCTTTTCTATTTTTTCCTTTCCTACTCTAATTTTGTTTTGTTGTACAATAAATGTCAGATCTCATCCTTCTGAAGATGTTTTGCCAAGAGTTGCTGACTCTTCACAAACCTGTTAAATCTCTGTAATTGTCTTGAATAGACCTGGTTTCGTCCTTAATTTCACATGCCCTAGGAAACCTGATGCAGGATAATTACAGAGTTTAATATGTTAACCGTGCAAGAAGAGAGCAAAAAATAACCTGATAATTTTAGCTATCCAAGGATGCATCATCTAAGAGACTCTGTGGTCTCTTTTTCTCCGATTCAGTCTTTGAGTGATATAAGCACTTGTGTTCTGTAGTGCAATTCTTCTGTCTTCTGTTCTTTAAATTAAACTGTAATATATAGGCTCACTCAGAAAGATTGCCAGGGGCTATAAAATAATTGGCATTAACCCAAAGAACAACCTGTATGGAAAAGGATTTGTTTGAGCTGACCAAAGGCCTTGAAAAAAATCCATTTGTTTGCTGTCTGCTTTTGTATTTCTTAGCGAGGTTACTTAGCTCTTAGAAGAGCTCAAATAGGACATGAGTTAGCCAAGATACAGGAAAGTAAATGTTYTCTGTTTTCATAGGTTATAAGGTATAATGAGATAACTAGTATATATTATCAAAGCAATAATAAGCTGCAGTTCATGACCATACCTGGATTTAGATTCGCTGTGCAAAGTGCCAGTTTTCTTCCCTACTTTTAGAATCTTCCCTTGGAGCAGAGTGCCGGCAGTGCGTCCCTTGCTGCACAACAGAGCTGGGTGCCCTGGGCTCCCAGCAGGACAGGTGGGTTCTGCTTCATGGTCCCACCTGGTCCCGTTGTGACCCCTCGGTGCTAGAGCTGAGAAACCTCCTGCCTGTGGCACAGCAGCATTAAACTTACCACTGTGCCTCGGGGATGCACGTTCCTTTCCCCCCTGCCATTTATCCATATGGCATTTTAATAGCTATTTGTTTGCTTGTAGATATTTTTAAGCACTAGAAGTGATATTTAACTCTRTAAGGTGCTGTCTTCCTGCAAATTTCTTTTACTTTTTGTGATGTGATGGTTTTTAGTCTTGGTGCTAGGGCTGTGTACTGATCCTGCAAGTACTGAGGCAYGTTCAGCAAAGACAAGACGTGATAGGGCATGTTCAGTCACTGGCTAAATGCAACCTGGAAAATGTGTTTTATTTCTGCATGCGGTTCTACAACTCTGCCATGTAAATGGAAGGGAAAAAATGCAGTTTTCACATTTTAATAATATTTCCATAAGCTGTGATTATGGTCTGAAATTAGGAATTGGCAAGTTCAGTTTCTATTTATTGATGTAGCTGTTTACTTTGTTCAGTGACCTTTTTGCCTTCTGAATTGTTTCCCACATTGAGTTCCCATGTCCTGGTTTCCCGACGTAGCAGCACGTGGCATGTTTCCCGATTTGTATTGGTCACCA